CGGCTCAAACCGCATCCCAAACACACCGGTGCAACTCCAAGGTAACCCGTTGATGTGCGGCCACGCCAATCTGAGCGGCTCAAACATAGTGGACCCACCGGCGTGCGCCGCCCACAGAACGCAACCTCCTTGGCTTCCCAAGCTCGAAATCCAGAGACAATACCTAGAAAGTGAGTAACAACCATCTAACTAGCATACCTGAGCAATACGTACAGTTGGCACTTGTTTGAGATTGTCCTCAAATGGGCGAGAAGTCCACCCTGGGTCCATGTGCGGACTGATTCTTACTCAGGTAACTTGAAACCGCCTGTCAAGTGCCCTTCGTGCGCGAGCGTGCCACCGCACTCGGCTCCTCTACAAGGTCGTCAACGCCCGGCAAGGCCTGGCTGATGAGCCCCAGAGCAGTTGGTGGTTGGAGCCCAGCAGTTTGGTGCTTACCGTCTAGAACCATTCAAATCCAAATCCAGAGCCACCAATCCCAAACCACCAACTAAGGGGCTACCTGAAGATCCGTTGATCGGAGACCTCCCAGAAGCTGCCCCAAACCACCCCCAGTCGCCTTTCTGGGCGCGTCGATCCCGACTCCCAGAGGTTGGGGGAAAAAGGACATGGAACCAAAGGCATTCCGATGCTTTGGGGCTCCGATGCTCTTCGAGGTTCAGCTTCCAGCTCTCCAGTCGGAACCAGGAAAAACTCTTATGTCTTGGAAGCTACGGCTACCAATCTGATCGGAGCCAAGAACGATCCCCAGGTCGCGTTCGTCAACCTCCATGAGGGCCGATGCTTCCGAAGTCGGCTGGGGCCCGGGGCAATCAGGGCGCCCATGACGTCAAACCTGGGGATCCAATGGCCGGCAAGCTTCTGATCAGAGTAAAGATGCTAGCGGCTAGAGGCAAAACACCTGGGTGCCAAGAAAATCTGGGTATGGCTAGCACATTTCCCGAATTTCTTCCCAATGGTCAGTACGTCAGCAAAGTTTCCTCCATTTTTTTTCTGGAACCTCAAAAGGTTGCAGCGTCAATGGAAACTAACCGTGCATTGCAACTTTTGGAGGGGAACTTCATCCAGACACCCCTGGCAACCCCACTCAAAAGCTCAGGGCAAACAAAAGCGCGGTTAAGGTTTCCCCCCAAATTCGGTCCTGCTCTCTCTCACGCAAAAAGAAAAAAGCCGGGCTCAAGAAGTGCTCAAGTTTGGACTCGGGGTGTCTGCACTTGCTACCGTGTATTGCAAGGAAACCGAACCCCAAAAGCCCAGAACCAAAGGTCCACTACGGTATATTAGGAGTCCTTGTTCCCCTGCTTGCAAAATGTAGGACATCCGCAAGTGCCCCCTTGTCAGGCTTGCCGTATCCTCTCTGCGACAAGGCGACGCACCAGATCAAGCCGTCGGTTGGCTGGGAAGAGGGGTTTGAAAGGATGTGGCTGCTTCCACATCTTTGCCCTCTAAGGAACAAGCAGATCCAAGTTCCCCGTTTTATTGAGGCAATTGGGCCCGTGTTTCTTCGTGGGTACCCTTTCTGGGGCTGGCTTAAAGGGCAAACCACCAGAAACTCTGCTTGTTTGTTTCTACTTTCTTGTTTGCTTGCTTTTTTGTTCCTTTTGTTTCCCGGCGGGGGGGGGGGGGGGGGGGGTGGGGAGCGGTCTCCCATGTTGTGACACATACTCATTTGTTTTCCAAAACCAACACCTAGAATAAGACTCGTCGGATAGCCTGAGGATCCACGGGCGAACTCTTTCCTTCACCTTAGCCCTGTGGAACGGCTCAGATTGAATCGGTGTGACATGAACCAAAGCTCTCAGGACACCGGGTCAATTCTGAACAAGCGCTACACCTAGGGCCCTTATCTCAGCGGGTAACCCAAGTTGCCAACTTACGAACTGGGCCACGCACATCTGAACACAAGTTAGTCTCCATGGCACCCCCATTTTGAAATACCCCATTTCCCTGTGGGCCAAAGGCTTGCCACCCGAAGACTAGGAAAATGGCGGGAGACCTCTGTCGAAACGCCGAGCTGGGTGTTGGAATTGTTGTTTCAACTCACTCCTTTTGGCTTCCCGAATGTTGACCCCAGAGATTGGGTTTATCAAGCTGAGGGTGTTTGGAACCCAAATGGCCAACCACCGACACCAACTTGGCAACCATGAATCCTAGCAGGTGACTCAAAACCGGGCATTTTTCTTAGGGAACATATCTGCTTTACTGCGGATGAAAACCACCAACTAAGAAATTGCCCGAAGTTGATATTTTTGCTGAGTCCGCTTTCCCCGGCACTTTTCTTGGGAAAGTTTTCACTCACCGCCTCTTCGGCTTTTAACCAAAAAAAGGCGCCACTTCGCGCCCCGCGCGCCATTTGCCCCACGCGACTCGCGGCCACTCGCGCCGGGCCCGCGGCAGCCCGGCCAAGATCTTGGAGTTGGCGCCGTTCTTCAGCGCGGACACCGTGGGACTGGCAGGCGCCGGCGGAGTGGGGTTCAGCTCTTCGCTGGGGGTGTCACACCCCAAAAATCTTGG